AACCGCTATTTTGTTTTCAACACCATCTGCTTTCTTCCCAGTTAAACATTAAGCAAACTACCTTTACCATGTTGTCGCATGAACAAATGTTTAGATGATTTCACGTAAAAAGCTCAATATTGAAAAACGTTTCGAGGGAAATGTTTAGATGATTATTAGATATAGCTATTTCACAATATTTTAGATAAAAGTGGCAGTAGCAAACATTTACATGAAAAAGAGGCTAGGTCAAACAATTTTCGACATTTTCCTTAATGAATGATCTTATATTAAAATGGCATTTACAACAAAATTAGTTATAAATTAGACATTTACAACTTAATGAATGATCATATATCAAATAGACATTTACAACAATTGACATATAAATTAGACATTTACAACAAATGACAGATATAAATAGCAATTTTTCTTCTAGTCATAGAGTAAGTCCATTAGAGCTCATCAGGTATCTGTAGGAAAAAAAAACAAAAACAAAAAAAAAAGGATAAGAATTAACCTCAACCTCCAAATATCATAATGTTATAATGGATTTTAATAAAGAAATGACATTTCTCGGGCTCAAAAACTTTTTAAGTCATCAGTTTACTATTGATGCTTTTCAGCTAACGTTCTACCTTGTATTCCACAAATCGTAATGAAAATATTTTAACCTGCATCTGGGTGTATTCTTTGATACAGTAACCTTTTGTAGTGTTTTTATTCCACTTCTTTACTTCTAGTATAATAATTTTTAACTTACATACGGTGGTAAGGGTTGATGGTGCACTCCTGGCCCCTGGTTATTCCTGTTCCTATTCGACGGAAAGAGGTGGAATACTACTGTCTTTACCGTACACATCAAAAATAATTTTAAAATATGATTTTCAGGAATTGTCTTTTGAAAATCATTTGCTATACATATCAATTTACAGCACTAAAAATGATGTATCATGTCCTACTGATATATTAAGACTGAAATCGCCTATCAGTTTTGAAAACATAAGTTTTCTTACAGGAAACAAATGCAGCAAGTGCAAAAATCCTGAATAGAATCCCTTTTTTACCATTAATGATTAATTATTGAGGGCATTTTTCTTAAGCTGTATCAATAATTAATTTTCAATGACATGCTGTAGATATTTGTTATTCGAATTTCTTTTAGTTCAGTCATGCACTGTGCTTGCAAAGCTACCATAATTACCTGCCATCGGAGATACGAAACAGGACAAAGAGCTCCATAGTTATAACCTTTGAAAAACCAATAAGAAAAATGAGTCCTCTTCTAAAAGACTGTTAACAATAAAACTGCTGCGTGAGGCTTTTTTTCACATTAGTTTACTGTTCTTGATGGTTTTAATTGTCATTCATTAGCTTCTTTTACTTGGTTGCTTTAATCGCACGTTGTAATGAAACAACATTCTTCAAAAAGTAATCACGATAAATTATTGGGGCGGTAAAATTATTTCACATTTGCAGTAGGTCTTCATCTATATTTGCATTGATATATTTCTATATTTTACATTTTACCAGTGTTGTACGTTTTTTGCAGATTTCCTAGCTAGTCTAGATTTCTGTTTTGTTTCATCAATTTCTGGAGGTATTAATGATAATGGCCTTGATTTTTTACTTACCAAAATGACGCCTGTGTCTCCTTCAACAAAAGTTAGTCTATATGAATAAACAATCGATATCGAAACGCATTAGTTAATTTCTTTTTAATCAGATTGATAACGAAATTTGCAAATAATTTTCTCCTTATCGTATTTCTTGATAAACAAGCAGCTTAGCTTTATCATTAAATGATGTAAAGTCAAAAAGACGCCCTTATGGGTATTAACATGGGGAAGGAAAGTGATATATTTGACCTCTACTCGTCCTTGAAAATAAAGCAAAGTATAATTTGGCGTTGTTACCTTAAACGGAAGTGCATAAAGCCAAAAACTGTTCCTTGGTGATTGAAAAATGACCATGAAATGAGGAGCCGTACTTCATTTAGTTCAAGCTACAAAGTAAAAGAGGAGTCGGATTCAACAGGAGAAAACGCGAAATAGGGTGGAAAAAAAGGACTTTTGAGAACAAAAAAAGCAAATCAAAACAAAATACTCACCAAATTTTGTGGTGTAATTAGAGACGTCATTCCACTATTACGTATCCTTTAAAGTACACAAAATGTGACAAATCACATTTAAAAAAACGTAGAACAATTTTACCAATTTTTGGTTTGCACCATCAAATATGGTGGCTCTCATACAACGCATCCCCAAGCGAGTCAGCGGTTCGCTGGAAAACGAGAGGGAGGGAGTGGGGCCTGAATGTGGTTCCTTGAAATTCAGGGGAGGGATGTGTTCAGCTCGTCTTAAAGTGCACCTACACCCAAAAAATTTTTTTCGCTTAACGAAGTAAGCTTATTTTTTTTAGTATTTCTGCGCAAAAATTTTTTTATTTGCTCAAATCTTCAATTTTCTATGCCCAGTCAAAATACGGAAAATCGGCCGCCATCTTGCCCCACGACCGAGTTTAAAGAGGAATGGCTCTAGTGGGTAATGTGACGTCAAATCGAGAACACGAAAGTCTGCTTTTCACACATTTTCACTTGTTTGGGAAGGTTGTAGTCGATAATTGTCCGAAAATATGCCGACTAAGTGTGTTGTAGAAGGATGTAGCAACGTGCGAAATTTGCAAGAGGGTATCGCGCTCCATACCATCTTCATACAACACACCTAGTCGGCATATTTCGGACGATATCGACGACAATCTTCCCAAACAAGTGAAAATGTGTGAGATGCAGACTTTCGTGTTCTCGATTTGACGTCACATTACCCGCTAGAGCCATTCTTCTTTAAACCCGGTCGTGGGGCAAGATGGCGGCCGATTTTCCGTATTTTGACTGGGCATAGAAAATTGAAGATTTGAGCAAATAAAAAAATTTTTGCGCAGAAATACTCAAAAAAATAAGCTTACTTCGTTAAGCGAAAAAAATTTTTTGAGTGTAGGTGCACTTTAAGTCCCTCTGTCCAGGATAACCAAGTTTAGAATTATTTCCCACCTTCATATGGGGAAGTATTTCGGTTGACATTTCCATTTGATAACCTTGATATAATTCTGGATTATATTATCCTGAAACTTTAGCTTTTTCTGGACACATACAACAAGTAGTATTTTAATTTACCTCTGATAAATTGGAATCCATATTTTCAACCTTCTATGCGTCAGTAAACGGGACCTTCGGCTGCTCAGTGGCCAATTCACAAAGATCCGCTAAGTTTTTATGAATTGGGGAACTAGCGAGCGTCGTTTCGAGGGTAATATGATCAACATACTGGAACGTAGTAAAGAACGTCCGACACATTTTCTAGCATCACTAATCTGATCCTCCCCTAAGTTAACCAAGTTGAATTTGGTCTTCAAAAATCTTCGGAGGACTGAGTAAAACCGTGACATTGTGCTTGATGAGCTTTGTGGGAGTGAATCTAGTAATAACTGTTCCCAAGATAGATGGACTGGTAGTTGCCATGAAGTTAGGGCCACAGCGGGGCTTACTCACGCGACTCAATTATGGTTCTAATCATGAAACCAATGAATGACATTCTAGAACCGAAGGAGGGGCCAAAATAACTGACTGGTAACATTCTTAATATTTTTATTATTTTTAAAATGTCTGGCTTGGGTGGTGGCCATCTATGAGCTTATACAATCTTTCAAATATATAATGCAGTATGGTCTTTTGAAAATTAAACGGCATATCTAGCGATACAGTAATCAGAGAGAGACGGCACAGTTTAGGTTTGTGGATTTTATGTGTTGCGTGCTGCTTGCCTATTTGAAGTTAAGTGACTGATGACCTTGACCCTGCCATTGTTTTAAATGAAAGAGATATCCGCGTAGCGAACCTTAAGACTAAAGAAGACCGCGACAATGTCCTATTTTTATCTTGCACTTTCGACTTGTTATTCGCCATATCAGCTACTCTGTAATTTTATCGTGTATAGATAAATGCTTTAATTATTACTATTATGTCCCAGCATGTCCGGTATCTGCTACCTTCTTCAAACTTAAATCTTATTTGTTCATTTGTTTTTAAGAGCGTGTCCACGAGAAAACCGGGCAAAACGGGGCAGGGGGGAAACTCAAATCACCGATTTGGCTCAAACTTGGCACAAATGCTAAGTATCATGAGTTGACAAATCTGTGAAAATATCAGGTCAAAATATTGAATTCCCCTCGGAGATATAGGGTCCCCCTGGGAAAACCCCCATTTCCTCATTTTTGCATAATTAATTAGCTTACTTTGCATGCTGCTGTGACAAAAAAAAAGCCATCTGCAAATTTAATCAACTGGTTTGTGTTCTATATCTATCTGACCTCAAGGCATTGAATTGTTTTAACTTTTTCATTTCATTTCTTCCTTTATCTCTCTCCTAAGCAAAGACGACTTTTTCTGGCCTTGACAAAGTCCAAAAATAAGGGTATTTTAAGGCCCAATATCTTCAATGACCAACCACTTCTGATAATTATTTTGTACATGGGCAGTGAAAGCCATCACTGGACTTCCAAAATCAGTAATAAAAATTTGGAGCAACTGATTTAATAAGGGAAAAATGAAATGAAAAAGTTAAAACAATTCAATGTTCTTGAGGTCTGAGAGTTTTTACATAATATCTCGTGTAATATTTGGATCTGGTCCATCGAGTTTACGTGCCTTATCGTGGTTTTTGGTTGTACTCGTTTAATCGCACGTTATGACATGAATTCCAATAATTCTTCCTGTTTAAGGAACAATTTCCAAAAATCCCTCGATCTTTGGCTTCTCCTCTCCTTGAGAGGGGAAGGAAATTACTTGACAACTTCTTTCTTGTAAAGCAAGAGAAGGCAGGAGTAACCGATCTTCCATAGTTTGGTTATAGATGTCCCTTATAATTGGTCCAAAGAAAAGGAAGGCTTAGATTCTAACGTCTAAGAAAAACGTTTGGCTTAGCAGGCGGCAGCGTAGGTGAAGGCAGATGAAGGCAGAAAAACTCTAAGTTGTGATTTCCAACGATTTTATTTTTTTTTTTATCTAACTACACATGAGGTTATTTCGTAGTTATTTACAACAAACCTTTACAATTGTTTAAATAAGTTACATTTTCAGTTCTTTATTCTCCTCACTTAAAATCACGAAAACATTCTTCAACGAGAGGAGGGAAATAACTATCAGCAGGGAGAACAACTTGGGCCTTGTTCTTGTGACTCTTTTATACAATCTATTATTTTGTTGTTGTAATTTTTTCAACACTGACTTGCATGAAAAATAGATAGACAGCCCTGAAAAATAGACGCAAAAAATAAAGGGAAGTTCAAAATTATCTTTTCGTTGTTTTATAGATTTTCTTTACTGTATATTCATGTGTTGTTTCTATGGTTCTTCTTAGATAATTATCTGTAACATTCCAAAATGCAGATCTTTACCAGGTTTCAATCTCTACATACATAATTTATAAGTATTTTGCACAGTCTTTCATGTATAGCCTCGGATGGGTGCTATTCTATTTGATTTTTAAATTTAGCTTCACGCGTACATTGGCATTTCTTTAATTTCCTTAGATCCTCTGGTAGACTGTTTTTGAAGACTCTCATAAGTGCGTTATTTCCAGTCATGCTTCACACATCAAACGTCCTCAGTCACCAACAGTATGTTAGTTGGAGTGAGAGGAAAAAAAGAGGATTAGGTCGTCCTGTTTATTAAGTGGAAGGAGAACTAAAGCAACTTGAAGAATGTGATGTACATCCACGCTGTTAAAAAATGCTGGCAAATTCTACTATTGAAATTGTTAAAAGAGTCGTGCAGGATGTATCTCGCTGACTTTTAGATGGGGGACATCGAAAAGAAAATGATATGGGAGCATTCCTTAACAAATCTCATGTATCTGTTGCTTCACTGAATGAAAAATGGAAATGTGCACAGAAAAAGGGATCCCAAAGTAAAGCTATTGCTATGCACTTACTTTGAAAGATCACTAAGCCCTATCGACTCTGGTACGAATGACCAACAGCTCATCCTAATCGAAAAAAATTAAACAGCTTTGGTGAGTTTTGATTATTTGGTAATATTTTTTCTGTGAGAAAACAGGAATTTAGTTCAAGAATGGAGTTGAGAGGTGTAATGGACAAAGATTACAATACACGCGAGTTAAGAACTCGGTGGAATTGCGAGATACCTACCATAAGAGCTTGTAACATTCTCTTCTCCAACCTAGGGAAAATATACGTATGGTGAGTCATAGTGATCTGTAATCAGGATAATGGCATTGCCCTGTGTTCTGTTGATGTCGAAAGCAGTGGATGTTGCGTAAAGGATAGATGTAAACATTTAATTCAGTTACTGGAGGGTTACCTCTTGCCAGTTTGGGCTAATGAGAGTTACTGGTCTGTTGGTGCTCAGTTGCTGTGCGACGAAGTGTTGTTTCGTGGGGGTGTGTCACAAAATCATCTGTAACTTAACTGAAGTCATTTTCAAACTGATGCGTTAGTGTGACGAAGTGGTCGGCTGGTACGGGTGAACTCCATGGAAGCATTGACTAAAATATTTATGATACAAAGTGATTTGGAGCTCCTAAGCAGGTCTCATACTGACGAGTGTTTGATTGGATAAGTATGTCGCACGAATAGGTAGTCCACTTGTTCTCATCTTCAGTACCGACTTCCAAACAGTCCTTGGTGAGAGAGTATCGCATTTGGGTCTCAAGTTACTCGGCTTTAATCATTTTAAGCATTATATGATTGAAAAGTGTCTCACCGGCGTGGAATCATTATATCTTTGTTAAACGAGTGATTGACCAGAAATGATTTCACACTCAATCTAGTAACTCCAGGCAATGAGTTATGAGTGAGTGTCGCGAAGTGATCTGGTAGTCAACTGCAGTGCTTCCAGGAAATATATGAATGAGTGCTCAGATACAGTATTTCCAAGTGCTGTCAAGTGGGTATATAAGGGATGGCCTGGGAGATCATTTTGGAGGTAGAATGTGAGCTTACGGTCGGAGAAAGTCAAGGCATACCTTCTGTTTTGGGAATCTTCCAGAGTCATTTTGCGTATCGCAGTCATCTCCCACTAAGAAAAAGACCAAGATCGCAAATTAGGATGGATTCTGTGAAATGATTGGTTGCAACTAGCGAGAATACATTGTGGTGCTCTACTTACGTATGTATCCACGAGTGAGGTTTGTGTGCTAGTAGTAGACAGAAAGATCATAGGATTAGTGTCGTGAAGCAAAATGATCAGATGTAGCTATTCATAGCTTAATTTAGGGTAGATTTTTTTTTTAGTTTTCTCCATAGTAAGGAAATTGCATGTGTTATATTTTAAAGTTTGTAAAAGTTATGAATGAAATACAACAAAAGGTTACAAAACTTCCCTATATCATAGCTAGATTGAAAATGAAATAGAGTTCCGTGGAACGTAACGTGGCTTCAGATAAATAGTTCTTAATTAAAGTGAGTAATAAATATTGGTTAGTATCGTTCTTGAAAACGTAGATGAAGCAGATTTGTTTTGTATGCCAAGAGTTCAATAAATGTTTCTTCGTGATTTTTGACACTTGGACTACTGTATTTGCTTCTGAAAATGGCGTGGCAATCTCGAAGAAAATTTATGACGAAGTCTTATCTTTATGGTGTGGCATTTTTGGAGTAAACTGGTGTGCACTGCTTCCACAAAAACCAAGTTAACTCTTCATCATATTTTGGCATATTTTCAGATGTTAATACAATGCCGTATCAGTTTAAGCGGTCATTAAAACGGTAAAATGGAACCCTGCGAGTCATTTCCACAGCCCTGCAACCTAAGATCAACAGACGTTGTAATCTAGTCACCAGAACTACGAGCTGACTAAACATAATTGTGAAGTTGTCCTTCTTTAATGATCCCGAAATGTTTGCATTTTAGCTTAAGAAGACCTTTTTTGGCACAAGTATTCTTTCGTAAGAACTTTGTAGCTTCTCACCTTGTGTGATATGTTCTTATCTTTGTGGCTTCGGCCTGCAAGACATTTTTTACAATCATTTCGAAACATGGATGTTACATTGAACTGACGACTTATTTTTACTCAGTTTTTGAAACTAGATCGCATTTTGACTGTTTCGACGTAGTGAAATGCTCTACTCTTTAATTAGGTTGGGATTGAAAACAACTCTTCTCAAACGTTCCAAATTAGCTACAATATTCGAATTTTAAGGCCCTTTTTGAAAGGCATAACTAACTGCAGTCTCACCAAATGATTAAGTGCTCACCTTAGTGCGTTTCTCGAGCTCGGCATCCACTTGAAAGGTGTCGGACATGTTGTATTCTGTGGAGGGAATATTGAATGTGAGATTACTTTCAGTTTACTCCAGTTTTTCCACTTAAAATGGCTCACTGGGTTGAAAACATGGCTCACTTAAGTCCTAAAACATGATGTCATAACAGTTTTCCTTAAGCAATGAAAAACGCAATACTTGATATGGATAAAGAAGAGTCAAATCTGTAGCAAAATTAAATATAACAACGAGAAAAATACTCACATCAAAACACTCGCTCATTGGAAAGAGCATGCGCACTTCGGGCTGTATTTTAGTGTCTCGGCAAAAAGTAATCGATAACAATTCGGTTTTATGCAAATAAATCACTTTTCATAATCGTGAAGGAGAAGTCGAGGTCAGGAGTAGTCCTCTGGCGGAATTGTATTGCCACATTTTAAATTGTCTCCTGATCCACGATTTTCGGGACGGGGCAACCGCTTACTGGCCATTCTGTTATTTGTTTGATCGTTGTAGTGTTGACTCAACAGAATTCTTGAACAGGCTTCTCTCAGAGTTGTTTAGATCACTGACCTCTATCTCTTGAATTACTCGTAAATAAATTGTCAGATCTAAGTTTGAATCCAGTGCCCCGTAGAATCTTGCCATGGTTCACACAATACTAATCTTAGAAGACTTGAAAGGTTCTAGTAGTCAAAGCAGGCGTTTTACACGTCTTGCGCCGTTGGCAGTTCAGAGAATAATGAAGGCACTAGGAAATCACGCCTGAATTCTGTAGAATGCGACGTGTCAGACAGTCAAGCTGTCTTTCATTAATTCAGATTAGTAGGTGGGCACTAGTAGAGGTCACTGTCCGAATATCAGATTAACCGCCAAATTGTTTTCGAAAACGAAAGCAGTCCGCGTTCCAGCACAGTGAGTAGCAACTGCTTCACTTCTACGGATCAATTATCGTGGATAGCTTTTCCTCATATCTTTGAATTCGCAAAGAGACATTCATACTTCTGCAGGAATACCAGACGTCAACAGACAACTAAAGATCATTTAATCCATGGCCTTAATTCATAACTGACGGTATTCGCGTCAACATACATCATTCCATGCATGATCTGGCAAACCGCAAAATTGTGTTTTGAGTCTAAATTACTGGTCGACTTAGGTAAATAAATCTTTGTGCACGTAGAGATAAATCTTTGAACCGTTTAATCTATTTTTTCTATTTAAGAACGGCGGTGTTTTTCTATTCAAGTACGGCGGTGTTCAAGTAACCACGGTATTAGACTTGTGTTCAATAATGTGCAAGTCCCAACGTTTTTTCGTCAGAATTCACCTTATCTTTGTTCTCATTTTCCCACGAACAGTGTTTTTAGATGTGCTATATAAGGAAAGCGCCGAGCAAGCTTGTTTTTGTTTCCAAAACCAAACGATTGTATAAGCGTTATCAAAGCACCCTAAGAGACTTTGGCGACTGCTATTATGCACCAACATCAAATTTTTGTCCACGCTGTTCTCATGGAGATTGTTGAAGGGAAGTTTCGTGAATTATAAAGTGTCCCGCTTTACAAACGGCCATTAATCAGGTGCCAGACAGTACAGTGTTAGGGCATGTCAGTGATTTACCTAAAACCGATTGTGATTACACAAGTCGTGCGAAGGGATCAAAAAATCATGAATTACAAAGTTCTACGATTTCCTGACTTGGAGTGTTGCATAACTTTGTTGACTTGACTACCGGCTTAAAAGGACCTTTTCTTCCTCGTTTTCCCCGTAACCCGATCATGTATGTATTGGAGGAATGCTGATAGTTAGAAGGTTGTTTTTAATCTCGCGGGCAGTTAAAATTGATTCCTGTATTTATTGGGGCATATCCACAGATAAGTGGTCTCAGCTAAGTTCCCAAAGTATCAAACATAATTGGTCTGCTCGAGCACTTTCAAAGTTAAACGTAGTGACATTTCAGATATGATGAATATAGGAAGTTCATATATTTTGAACTGCGGTTATAGATACGTATGATGCACATCATCATATCTCAGTGATTTATCATCACGGGTTTCTTACGAATCAACTTAACGGCCTGCTCCCAGTTGGCTTGTTAGCTCAATTGGTAGAGCGCTGCACTAGTATCGCAGAGGTCAGTGGTTCGAATCCCGTACAGGCCTGATTTTTTTCAGGTCTGATTTTCGCTATTGCATAAATAGCGAGGATCGTGCATCATACGTAGTGACATTTCCTTTGGGGAACGGTCAATTTTTTTGGGGGGGGGACGGGGGAAGTAGCGGAGGGACGGGAGAGAACGGTGGGGCGGGGGATGTTTGGAGGACTTAGGTTAAGTGACGATAAAATTCTCCTGTACTCCAGGAGTGCTATCAGCGGTGAATAGGGGTATGCAAATCCGCCGATCCGCTACGATTTGATAACCAAATCCGTCAATCCGTTAAAAAAAATTGTTAAATCTGAATCCGTTCGCTACTTGTCTCGCAAAAAGGTGGAAAACGCACCTTGAGCTGTTGTGTGTCAGCTAGGCAATGGCTTTCCCATCGAGCGAATCGCAATCGGTGGGGTACAGTGTCATGGATAAGGGCGCGAACACAGCAGACGTCCCAGTGCGTTACTATTTCCCTGATGCGTGACATGCAGAGAGTCTCGTCCTTGACAAAAAAATAAACACATACTCAGAAAACAACGCATTTCTGACGATCGTTCAGATCCACGATCCGAACTTCCTCACAAGCAAAATCCGAACCCAAAAAATCGACGAAACCGCGAACTGTGCAATTTCAGGATCCGCAAATCCGTTAACATTTTGCTCTCAATCCCAAATCCGGGCAAAATAATTCTCAGAAACCGCCGATCCGTTAGCCTATTCACCCCCCTCCTTAAGGCTGTGTAATATTACTCTGATTACCCCTCTTTATAATCTGCTGGCGACCGTCTATTCCCTTTTAAAAACCATGAGATCCCTCACCCAAATTCCACTTTTCTCCCCCCGCTGTCTAGGTGATCTTAGCTCCTATCAACTGTGCAAATGCAACTTATGTGTAACTGATAACAGTTTTCCCCTTTTCTAAGAAAATGTTTCAGAATTATTTGTTTTTTCTTTTTTGGTTTCTCAAAATTGTTTCTGGGAAATTATTAAGAATATCAGCTTTGAAGTGCACGAGGAAATTCCGCGAAAGCGAAACACATTTGAAGAATGTGTTTTTAGCAAAGCTGTCTTTTATAACTCATAGTCTTTTGCTTGTTGTTTCACAGTGGAGTCCTCCGAATCCAGGCTGACAAGCACAAACATAACTGTTCACTCAGTCAGTTCAAGTACCACTGTTTACACAGGGATTATTGGAACACTCATTGATATCATTATAGCTTATGTATGGCTTGCTCTTCTGACCCCTTGTTAAGCATCAGGTGTAAAGCACCTGGTGTACTTTTTTTCATAAGCTCATTGGCCCCTTTTTTTAATATCTTCTGTTGATATGGTTATCAATTACAGAATGCATCAAGATGATAAATTGAGAAAACAAAAAAAGGAGTCTGATCACACATGTTGCACATTGTTTTTACAGGGAAGCATTTATGTAAGTTGGTATGCATCTGCTTGATCTATGCGCTATGCAAAACTTCATCATGATTTAATGCTACCCTGGCCTGTCGTGACATTTCCTTTACATCCTTGTACTTTGGATAGGTTACTCAAAGATGTGGCTGGCCTTGACTTTCCACCTTTGTTTCCCTTCAAGCTGTCAGTGGCAGGATTGATAGCCCATATTTAGTACAACTATTGAGAATAAGTAATTTACTACCAAATTGTTTCTAGAACCAAGAGTTAGAAAACATAATAAGTAAATAAATGTACATGTTCTAACTTTTCCTTTTTGAAATTATAAGTGTGGCCATGCTTTGCATATCATGGAGGAACAAATTTGACCTGCCCCCCAAAATATAAGTACTCCTGATAATTTAGTTAATAAAAATACTCTGTTTTTAAGAAAATAGTACCTGGTACTTTGCAGTTCATATACAGTGAAATTAACTACCTGTACTGTGCTTCATATGAAATTTCATAAACCTGCAGAGTATAGGTATGAGCTGGTCTACCTTTGGGGTAGATTGATTAACCACAGAATGGTAGCCCGCTAGAGAGCGTGTCTCCTCAACTGCAGAGGCTTTTTCCATGGCTTTTGTCAGGCCTGGTTAAGTCAGGAATGTAGACAATTTTCAATACCCTTACAGCAATATGAAGCTATTGATCTTCATGAATTGAAAGCAATCAGTTAAAAGGAAAGGTAAGGCTTTATTTTAGCTGAACAAATTTGTTTGTGTACAAATCTTGGGTGACGCCATATCGAAGGCGTTCGTCGAGGGTAAGAGTAAACAGTAATCTTGGTCAGCGGGGAAATTATGAAACCCGCCAAACCCCGCCAAACCCCGCGAAAGGATGGCATTTAAAAACTGAAGACAGTTTTTGACCAAGACACTAGAATGCGTAATCGTGGCGGCGACTCTATGAATTTGAATATATGAAAATCATCTATGTGTACTGCGGTTTCATGAAATGTATGAAAGCGTTCCTCGCAGTAATAAACCCTACTTATCCAGTAGCGACTGACCCTGTTCTGCCAACAGAGGAGCGAACGCGATAGGCATGCAATGTCTACTTTCAGTGCTTATAACAAGTGTAAAATTGTAAAGTCGTACGTGAAAAAAGCCTTCAATTTAAAACGGCAGTCACCTTGAGAATGACATTTGCCTGCCATTATATTTGTAGTGAGGTCGCTGACGCCAAAACGGGCTGGCTTTCTCTATCACGGCCTCGCATCGAGCCGGTGCACTTTAAACAGAAGGATGGGTACAACTGTGGAATTCACATTTTTCTCGTAAGTAGCTAACTCGCTATGCACCCACACGCGACATTTAGTTTTTAAGTTTAATACAGAAGTCACTATTCTCATTAAATCATGAGGTGTTAAGGTACGAAATATTTACCCTCACAAGGTAACTAGCATTACCGTTTGACAGGCTAACCGCTGGAAGAAGTGCATTCGATCAAATATACCTTAATAACCGATGGCTTCTGCCTCAAAAGGAATTTAACGGAGTATTGCATATTATTCACTCATTTTTCCCAATGACTGATTGTTATTTTCGATCGTTTCTTTCAGCTTGCAAGATGTTTGTGCGAAGAATCCTCTATGGATGCAGCTGAGTTTCGACATAGCAACCGATCGAACGTGCACGAATAAAGTCTATGGTGTTTGGCTGTTGTTACGATGACATCCACGAAAAAGTAACCTTAGTCACAGCTTGTTTCCAATCTACATATCCTTTAATCTTGCTAAGCATCGCGGGTTTGATCCTTATATAGAGTAAATAGTCAAAGTAAAAGACCTCACCCAATAAAAAAGAAGACATGTTTACGTGAATGATAATGAAATATATGTTCCGTCCGCTGTAGGGGAAACATCAACGTCTGCATAGTGTTGCACGACAACGATAGAGAAGATTGGCTGGGAGGCGATAGTTGTGGCCAGTACCTCCTCGCAAGTTAAAAGTGGATTTCTCATACCCTCTCTCTGCCCTTGTTAATTTCACAACGTCGTTGCGGATTAGCGACATAAATTGATAGAGAATATTCTTCACAGGCTAGGCTGTGAACAATTCCTGAAATTCCCGTTATTTCACGAATCATTTGACGTTTTAGTGGTGACAAGTTTTTCGTATTACGTAAGTAAAAATGGACTCAACGCGGCGGGGAGAATTTCTCTCGAAATTTCTTCCCTAAGAGTCAGAGCTACCGTCCAAAATTCAAACTTCAATGTTA